CGCTGGGAGCTTCCACGGCGCGGTGATGAAGACGTCGGTCGCCGCAGATGCTGGCGCTGTGAGAGGTTCCCACAAAGGCGGGGACGGCGTCCCAGCCCGGTTTGGTGAGGGTGTCCGTGTCCGCGGCGTCTGACCTGATGGACCTTCTGCCTCGGCCTCTGCGGAGCTGTCTCCAAACAGCTGGTACAGTTGTTGGTGGCCTCGTTGCCGCTTCTTCAGCGGACACGCTTTTCAGCGCGGAGTATCGCTTCTTCAGCGAGGCGCACTTCTTCAGCGCGAGGTATCGCTTCTTCAGCGAGGCGCACTTCTTCAGCGCGAGGTCTCGCTTCTTCAGCGAGGTGCACTTCTTCAGCGCGAGGTCTCGCTTCTTCAGCAAGGCGCGCTTCTTCAGCGCGGCGCACTTCTTCAGTGCGAGGCTCGCTTCTTCAGCGAGGCGCGCTTCTTCAGCGCAGCGCGCTTCTTCAGCGCGGCGCACTTGTTCAGTGCGAGGCGCGCTTTTTCAGCGCGGCGCACTTCTTCGGTGCGAGGCTCGCTTCTTCAGCGAGGCGCACTTCTTCAGTGCGAGGAGTAGCGCCTAGAGGTGCTGTTGGTACCGCTGTTGATATTAGGGCTTTTAATAAAAGTCGCCACTAATATCAGCGCAGCGGTGTGCGAGTGTGTCAGACCTCCCGCTGGGTCTGCCTTTTATTGCTGCTTAATTAGGATTTTCTCGTGAGAAAACCCCCCCGCGAATGCGCCACCGCACGGCGTCGCGCAGAGGCTCTCGCGGTTGTGCGGCGGCTCGGCGAGCGGCGGCGGCTCGGCTAGCGGCGCCGCGCTTGTGTGTGTGCGGATCTATATCGATCCGCCACATCACCCCCTTCGTTGTTTAAGAGCTCCTGGTGAGAAACGAACCGTTGGGCGAGATACTCTGCCGCTTCTCGTCTTGGTTTCTTCTTGCTGTTTCTCTGGCTCTTTTGTTTTGAGGGGCTCTTGTGTGGTCGTGTCCGTCTCATCTGGCGCTGTTGCTAGAATGTAGGCTGGTTTGAGACGGTCTATGCTGACGTTTATGGTTTTGTCTTTTATTTTAAGCGAGAAGAATTTTTGCGTCCTTGCGAGTACTTTGTAGGGGCCATTGTACGCCGGTTGCAACGCTCGAGTTGGTGCGTCCTGTCGAACGAAAACGTGTGACGTCTCCTCGAGGCTCTTTTGTGTGAAGATTGCGGGTAGGCCGTGGCGTTTTACTTGTTGCGGCCGAATATTCCCCATGGTTCGTCGCAATCTTTGGACGAAATCGCTGCAATCTTGACTTCCCGTAGAAGTGGCTTCCTGGAGGAACTCGCCCGGCAACCGAATGGTCTCGCCGTACACCAGTTCGGCTGGGGTGGTTTTTAGGTCCTCCTTAACGGCTGCTGGGATTCCCATAAGTACGATTGGGAGAGTATCTACCCAGCTTTCTGTCTGGTGGCATCTGATGGCAGTTTTCAGCTGCCGGTGGAAACGCTCCACCATGCCGTTGGCTGCTGGATGATACGCCGTTGTCCGCCAATGCTGTGTCCCAGTGAGTCGGGTAAGTTGTCGGAACAACTCGGCTTCGAACTGTCGGCCCTGGTCGGTAGTGACTCTGACAGGTGTCCCGAATCTTGCGATCCAGCCTGTGAAGAGATACCGTGCGATAGTTTCTGCTGATATGTCTGGCACCGGGATGGCTTCTGGCCATCGCGTAAAGCGGTCTACGATGGTGAGACAGTAGCGGTAGTCCCTGGATGAAAGCAAGGGTCCCACAATGTCGATGTGGATGTGCTCGAACCTTTGAGTGGGCGTCGTGAATGTTCCGACCGGCGATTGTACATGACGATGTACCTTATTCTGCTGGCAGGGTATGCATGCCTGTGCCCATTCTCTGCAGTCCTTTTCTATGTTTGGCCAGATGTATCGCTGTGCCACTAGTTTCGCCGAAGCTTTTACTCCCGGATGCGCTAATCCGTGCAGGGACTGGAAAACCTGCTGCCGGAATGGTTTCGTTACGAACGGTCGAGCCAGCTGTGTGGAGGTGTCACAGGTGATCTTGTGTCTTGACCCTGGAATTGGTAATTCCTCCAACTTGAGAGCGGTTTGCTGCTGCCGTAGTTCCTGCAGTTCTGCATCGCTCTCTTGCGACTTGGCGAGTTCTTCGAGACTGACCCCTTTTTGGATGCTTTCCACCCTGGACAGCGTGTCGGCTACGACATTTTCCTTTCCGGAAATATGTCGGATGTCTGTTGAAAACTGTCCGATGTACGCGAGGTGACGTACTTGTCGTGGTGAACTGTGCAGGGGGTCCTGTTGAAATGCATAGACGATCGGCTTGTGATCAGTGTAGATCGTGAATATGCGGCTCTCCAGCATATGCCGATAGTACTTAACTGCCGCGTAGATTGCTAGTAGCTCTCTATCGTAGGGGCTGTACTTCGTCTGAGCAGGATTCAGTTTTTTACTGAAGAAGGCTAGTGGTTGCCATTCTTGATGTACCCGCTGTTGTATCACTGCTCCGATGGCTGTGTCTGACGCATCAGTTGTGAGCGTGATCTCGGCTGCTGGATCCGGGTGTGCCAGTAAGGTAGCCCGAGCGAGGCTTTCTTTGCACTCGTTAAAAGCTTCTTCGTAAGTAGGCGTCCATGTAATAGGCGTGTTACCTTTGTTTTTGGGTCCACCTAGAAGCTCGTTTAATCGGGCCTGATCTTGAACTGCCCCAGGTATGAAGCGTCTATAAAAATTGAAAGTTCCCAGGAACTGACGTAACTGCTTGACCGTTGATGGTTTGGGGAACTCCTTTATAGACTTGACCCTTTCAGGCGGAGGTTCGGTCCCATGTTGGGATACCATGTAGCCTAGGAAGCGTACTTGCTGCGCCCCAAAAACGCATTTCGCCGGACTAATGAGTATGCCGTATTTTTGTAATCTGGCAAATAGCTTCCTGAGATGCTCCTGGTGCTCTTGTTCTGTGGTAGAGGCCACCAGGATGTCATCGATGTAGGCGTAGCAGAAGTCCAAGCCGTGTAGGACTTCATTTATAAACCTTTGAAAGGTTTGTGCTGCGTTTCGTAGCCCAAAAGGCATGTATAAAAACTCAAAGAGCCCGAATGGCGTGGTGATTGCCGTTTTCGGGACATCTTCAGGGTGTACCGGGATCTGGTTGTAGGCTCTAACTAGATCTACGGTCGAGAAAATTTTCTTCCCTGCTAGAGTTTGCGAAAAGTCCTCGATGTGAGGAACCGGGTACTGATCGGGTACCGTGCGAGCATTCAGGCGTCTATAGTCTCCGCATGGGCGCCAAGCGTTTTCTTTCTTCGGCACCATATGTAGAGGCGTGGCCCATGGGCTTTTTGAAGGGCGGATGATCCCTTCTTTAAGCAGGAGATCAAATTCTGCTTTCGCAGTTTTTAGACGATCAGGGGCCAGTCTTCGGGGACGGCATGCTTCCGGCAGTCCTGATGTTGTCTTGATGTAGTGCCTGGTGTTGTGTTCTGCTCTTGTTAGTTCCGTGCGTAGGCGGGTAATCCCTGGATATTCCGCTAAGATGCGGTGGTACAAATTCTCTTCTTTGAGAACCTTGACTGATGTCGTGGCGTGGTCTATAGTCCCCTGGGTTTTCAAGCCTGTTTTGCCATCTATTAACTTTCTTGCACGTAGATCCGGTAACAGATGGTAGTGGGATAAAAAATCCGCGCCGATTATTGGTTGCGATACGTTCGCAATGACAAAATGCCAAGGAAAAGACCTTTTTAGACCAAGTTTCGGTTCTACGGTGATCCATCCGTACGTCGGTATTGCCGACCCATTAGCTGCATATAAAATGTATGCTGTGGGCTGCTTCGGACCTTGGACCGCGGCGCGTGGACATTCGCTGACGTCAGATCCGGTGTCCACGAGGAATCGTCTTTTGGATTCCTGACAGGTGACGAAAAGGCGACGAGGAGTCTTGGTTGTGTCACTGGCCGCCATCAGTGACTCCCCCGCTCGTTTCCCGACTGGAAGTTGCACGCCTGGGTGCACTTTCGAGCTTGTTGCCCGAACTTTCGATGGTAGAAGCAGAGATGATCTCGTTTATTCTTCTCCCTTGATTGGCTTCTGTTTCGGTTCCGTGGACGAGGTGTTTGCTCGAGACGTCGAGCCATGGCTGCCACCTGGTCGGTGAGCTGCCGTATTTGGTGGGCCATCGGTGATGGGTCGTCTGGCGCCGTTTTCACTTCGTTGACCGAACGAACGGTGACCTCTTGAATACGGTCCGCCTGTTCTGCGACGTCCTCCAGTCGGTCTTGCGTTCTGGTCGCCAGAATGGCTTGCATCGTGGTTGGTAACCGCCCGAGCCACAACGTGCGTAGTAGTTGTTCGGGTACGGCGTTTCCAGCGAGCGTGCGTAGGTTCCGCAGGAATTGCGAAGGCTTGCGGTCTCCCATCTCTTCGTGTTCCAGAAGTTGGCGAATCCTGTGCTCTTGTGAAGCTGACAGTCGACGGATTAAGGCAGTCTTAATCGCGAGGTATTTATCCGTCGCAGGTGGGTCAGTGATTACGTCCTTAACCTCACGTGCGTACCTCGTGTCAATTTGTGAAAGTACATGGGCGTACTTGGTAGCATCTTGTGTAATGCCAGCGAGCAGGAATTGTCCTTCGAGCTGTGCGAACCACAACTCGGGCTCGTTCTCCCAGAAGGGTGGTGCGCGGACGGCGACTTTGTTTA